GGATGTAGTTTACCTACATCCAGAGATCACTGTGGACCCAAACAATGATGGATCGGGACCAAACCCTACACAAATACTCAATATATCCAAATGTGAACACTGGTGGAGTTTGGAAAAAATAGAATCTTGACATTCGGGAGTTGTAGTTGCTGGGATTTATAGTTCACCTACAATCATAGAGCATTCTGAACCCCACCAATGATAGAAATGGGCCAAACCTCCCACACAGAACCCCCATGTGGGCCACAGCAACATGTGTCACGGGACGACTAGTAATAAATAAATAAGCCCACTTGTCCATCCTAAAGCATGAATGTACCCAGAGGAGGCCAACGACCTTGCACAGCTACAGATCCCAGGACCCCATCGCATGGAACCACAGTTCAAGTGGGATCAATGCTGCATCCCTCCTACAGCATGTATGCACTTTGAGGATCTCCGAAGGTCTCAGTCTGAACCTTTCCTTCCCCAAGAAACCCACAGCATTGATCCGTGGCCACTCAAGCGAGGCCAAAACTACATCCCTCCTCCAATGTGGATGGCACCTGAGCCTTGGATTCGTCCCTTTCCCTCCAAGGAGCCCATACAATAGAGTCCTGGGAATTCAAGTGGGACCACAACTGCACCCTGAGCTGTGGATCTCTCCCTTTCCTATAGCATGGAACCCTGGCAGCTCAAGTGGGGCCAAAAACCGCATCCATCCTACAGTGTAGCTCAGGCATGGGCCAACTTGAGCCTTTCAGATGTTTTGGACTTCAACTCCCACCATTCCTAACAGCCTACTGGCCCTGGAGTGTTGACGTTTGCCCATGCCTGGTGTAGCTGCATCCTTAGGTCCTCCTTTCCTCTGTCATTTTCCCCTGAAGGATCCCACAAAATAGAGCCATGGTAGGTCAAGTGGTATCAACAATGCATCTCTCTTACAGTGTGAATGCACCTTGAGGACCTTAAAAGGTCTCGCTGTGGCCCTTTCCCCCCAATGATCCCATAGAATGGAGCCCTAGCAGCTGTTAGAAATTGTGGGAGTTGCAGTCCAAAATACCTGGACGGAGGGCCCAAGCTGGCTCATACTTGGAGTAATTATAATAATAATAATAATGATAACAATAATAATCTTTATTCATATTCTGCCACCATCTCCTCAAAGGGACTCAGGGCGGCTTACAAGACATTCCAGGGTGCACATACAACACGTAAAGGACCCCCAAAGCCCCCCCCCCCCCATGATCCTTTCGGGGTGAGAAGGGCGAAATATAAATGTTTTAAATAAATAAATAAATAAAATAGAGATTATTGGGCTTGCGTTAGGCTTGTATTAGGTTTGGGCTTGTATTAGGGATGCATTGAGCTTATATGAGGCTTGGGCTTGTATTAGGAATGTATTGGGCTTGTACTAAGCTTGCCTTAGGCTTGTATTAGTGGTATCCTGGGCTTGTGTTTGGGATGCGGTTTGGGCTTAAGCTGCCAGTTGCGCCTGTGACAATGGTGGGAAGGAGAGCAGCAGGGCCTCCCTGGAGGATCTTAATCTCCGCGATGGTTCATAGGGGGAGAGGCGTTCAGACAGGTAAATTGAGACAGGTAAATCTGCAACCTGTGCTGGATGGGGTCACACTCCCCTTGAAGGCACAGGTTTGCAGTTTGGGAGTTCTCCTGGATTCATCTCTGAGCCTGGAATCCCAGGTTGCAGCAGTGGCCAGGGGAGCGTTCACACAATTAAAACTTGTGCACCAGCTGAGCCCGTACCTTGGGAAGTCAGACTTGGCCACAGTGGTCCATGCTCTGGTTACATCTAGGATAGACTACTGCAACGCACTCTACGTGGGGTTGCCTTTGAAGACTGCTCAGAAGCTTCAAATAGTCCAACGAGAGGCAGCCAGGTTAATAACTGGGGCGGCATACAGGGAGCATACAATTCCCATGTTACGCCAGCTCCACTGGCTGCCAGTTTGCTACCGGGCACAATTCAAAATGCTGGCTGTGGCCTATAAAGCCCTAAATGACCCCGGCCCAAATTACCTGTCTTCTCCTATGAACCATCGCGGAGATTAAGATCCTCCAAGGAGGCTCTGCTTTCCATCCCGCCATTGTCACAGGCACGATTGGTGGGGATGAGAGACAGGGCCTTCTCGGTGATTGCTCCCTGGCTATGGAACTCCCTTCCTGGTGAGATCAGGTCGCCCCCCTCCCTCCTGTCCTTTAGAAGGATGGTAAAAACTTGGCTGTGGGACCAAGCTTTCGGGACAGGGCAATGAAGCGGCAATGGGAAAGATGACAGGACCAATTGGATTTGATGCGGATGGCTAGGACGTTTTTAAATGGTGTGTTTTAATATTTTGATAAATGTTTTTTAATGTTATGTATTGTATGTATTGTATGAATCTGTGTCCCGGCATTGAATGATTGCCGTGCATATGCTGTGCTCCGCTCTGAGTCCCCTTCGGGGTGAGAAGGGCGGAATATAAATGTTTTAAATAAAATAAATAAATAAATAAATTGGGCCAGGGCCATTTAGGGCTCTAATACAAGCCCAAACTTAATACTAGTCCAATACATCCTAATACAAGTCCAAACCGAATACAAGCCTAATACATCCCTGATACAAGCCCAAGCCTCATACGTGCCTAACACAAGCCCAATGCATTCCTAATACAAGCCCAAACCGAATACAAGCCTAACACAAGCCCAATGCATCCCTAATACAAGCCCAACACATCCCTAAGAGAAGCCCAAGCCTAATACAAGCTCAATACATCTATATAAATAAAAATTTAATGTTCGTTTGTGGGATTAACAGAACTCAAAAACACCTAGACGAATTGACACCAAATTTGGACACAAGACACCTAACAACCCAACATATGTCTTTCACCAAAAAAAAATTGATTTTGTCATTTGGGAGTTGTAGTTGCTGGGATTTATAGTTCACCTACAATCAAAGAAAATTCTGAGCCCCACCAACGATGAAATTGAACCAAACTTGGCACACAGTTCTCCCATGACCCAACAGAAAACACTAGAAGGGTTTGGTGGGCATTGACCTTGAGTTTTGGAGTTGTAGTTCACCTACCTCCAGAGAGCACTGTGGACTCAAACAATGGTGGATCTGGACCAAACTCTACACGAATACTCAATATGCCCAAATGTGAACACTGGTGGAGTTTGGGGGAAATAGAATCTTGACATTTGGGAGTTGTAGTTGCTGAGATTTATAGTTCACCTACAATCACAGAGTATTCCGAACCCCACCAACGATAGAATTGGGCCAAACCTCCCACACAGAACCCCCGTGGGCCACAGCAACGCGTGGCAGGGGACGGCTAGTTCCTAATATAAGCCCAAACCGAATACAAGCCCAATACATCTAAACACAAGCCCAATACATCTCTATGCTCCAATTCTGTGGAACTTATTGCCTCCATACATTAGAGCAATGTTGGAGTTACGACCTTTTGTAAAGGCACTCAAGACTTGGCTGTTTGGTTGTGCATTTAAGTAATCTGATCTAATTTGCCAAATAGTCACTGTTGAATGTTTTTATATTGTGTAAATGCTATTTTAGATTGTAAGTCGCTCGGAGCACCTTGGTGCAGAGTGACTAATTAAGAAATAAAGTGAAGTAATACAAGCCCAAACCTAATACAAGCCCAATACATCTAAGTGCAAGCCCAATACATCTCTAATACAAGCCCAAACCTAATACAAGCCCAACACATCCTGACACAAGTCCAAACCTAATACATCCCTAATAGAAGCCCAAACTTAATACAAGCCCAATACATCCCTCATACAAGCCTAAACTTAATGCAAGCCCCAGGCCTGTAGCCAGGATTTCGTTTCGGGGGGGGGGGGGGCTTAAAAATTTCAGGGGGGGTTTCAGGGGGGCTGAGTCTGAGTGAAAGAGGGTCTACCTAGCAAACCTTTTGTATCATTACCCCAATACCCCCATGCATATGGGATATATTGAGTATGGTGATCAGATCATGATATGAATAAACATAACAGTTTAAATAATGCACCAGTAAGGCCTTTTCGCAAACCACCATGAGAATTTGGGGGGGGGGGGGCTGAAGCCCCTCAAGCCCCCCCCCCCCCCCCCCTGGCAAGCCCAATACATCCCTCATACAAGCCTAAACTTAATGCAAGCCCAATACATCTCTAATACAAGCCCAAACCTAATACAAGCCCAATTCATCCTGATACAAGCCCAAACTTAATACAAGCCCAATACATCCCTCATACAAGCTCAAACTTAATACAAGCCCAATACATCCTGACACAAGTCCAAACCTAATGCAAGCCCAATACATCCCTCATACAAGCCCAAATTTAATACAAGCCCAACACATCCCTCATACAAGCTCAAACTTAATACAAGCCCAATACATCCTGACACAAGCCCAAGCCCAATACATCCCTCATACAAGCCTAAATGTAATGCAAGCCCAATACATCCCTAGTAGACGCCCAAACTTAATACAAGCCCAACACATCCTGACACAAGTCCAAACCTAATACATCCCTAATAGAAGCCCAAACTTAATACAAGCCCATTACATCCCTCATACAAGCCTAAACGTAATGTAAGCCCAATACATCCCTCATACAAGCTCAAACCTAATACAAGCCCAACACATCCTGACACAAGTCCAAACCTAATACATCCCTAATAGAAGCCTAAACCTAATGCAAGCCCAATACATCCCTCATACAAGCCTAAACTTAATACAAGCCCTATACATCCCTGACACAAGCCCAAGCCGGATACATCCCTCATACAAGCTCAAACCTAATACAAGCCCAATACATCCCTAAGACATCCTTAAGAGAAGCCCAAGCCTCATACAAGCCCAATATATCCGAAACCAAGCCCAAGACACCCCTGACAGAAGCCCAAGCCTTACCCAAGCGCAAGACATACCCAAGGCAGCCCTGTGGCAGGCCCCACGCGCGCCTCCCTCCCCCTCTCCCCCTCCACGCGTGTCGGCGGCTGTCTTACTCACGCACGCAGAGGCAGGCGACGAGCTTGGCGGCGGGGAGGGGGACGGGGCAGGCGGGGAAGAGGGGCTTGAGCAGGTAGGTGGCGAAGACGAAGGCCACGATGTACTGCGAGGAGGGCCGGATGATGAGCAGCTCGATCCAGAGCTTGAGGAAGGCCGGGAGCGAGCCGTAGACCTCCAGCATGTAGGCGTAGTCCCCGCCGGACTTGGAGATGGTGGTGCCCAGCTCGGCGTAGCAGAGCGCGCCCACGATGGAGAAGACCCCGCAGGCCGCCCACACCACCAGCGACAAGCCCGGCGAGCCCGCCTCCTTCAGCACCCCCGTCGGAGTGACGAAGATGCCCGACCCGATGATGGTGCCCACGATGATGGCCACGCCGTTGAGCAGCGTGATGTTGCGCTTGAGCGCCACGCCGTCTTCTCCCGAGGCGCACGGGAGGGAAGACGAAGGGGAGGCCGCTTTGGAGGGCGCCGTGGCGGGGGCGCACCCGTTCTCCGGCGGGCAGCAGTCCTCCCCTCGGTCGCCCAAGCCCCCCGAGTCCAGCATGCCCTTCTTCTCTTCCTCCTCCGGCCCCGAGGAGCCCGCCGAGGAGCGCTTCTTCACCCCGTCCCCACCGCCACTCGGCATGGCGCAAAAAGCGGTCCCTTTTTGGAGAGAGAGGTCCCTTTTGGGAGAGGTTTTTGGAGAGCTCTGGGTCAAAGCGAGAGAGAGATGGCGCCCCACGGAAAACGCAGCGTGGAAGGAGAAGCTTTCAAGGAGTCTTCCAGAGGGTGCCCCGGGTTGTGCTCGCCCCACACGGCGCGCAGCCCCCCGCCCAAGCCGGTGCCCCCTCGCCCCTCTCCAAGCGCGCACAAGCCGAGCAAAGGCGCCCTTGACGCACGCCGGCAGCCGGGCTTTCACGCTCACGCGGATCTCCTCCTCCAGACTTAGCCCGGTGGGAGGGGCCAAGGAAAAGGGGAGGGGGAGAGAGAGAGGGAGGGAGACTACACAGGGGACTCCCCTCCCTCTTTCCCACTCTCCCTCTCTCTGGAACCCCAGCCTCCGAGGAAGGCTCCGTGATGAATTAGACCACTTTGTTGTTTGATTTTTCGGGCTGTATGGCCATGTTCCAGAAGCATTCTCTCCTGACGTTTCGCCTGCAATGCAAAATATCACAAAACAGTATAATGCAATTAAAACAGATTATAACATCAACAACTATTTATTTATTTACCTTACTTATATACCGCTGTTCTCAGCCCGAAGGCGACTCACAGCGGTTCACAACAAATACGAACAGCAAAAATTCAGTGCTACAGTATAGAAACAGTTAACAACCTAACACATTACACAATTAATAAACAGTTACTACAATACCCATTCACTGTCGTCTCGTCATCAAAAACATGTTCCAGATTCGTCATCCATTGTTCCATTCCAGTGTTCATTAACCAATCATTGCACTAATTACTCGAACGCCTGCTCAAACAGCCAGGTCTTCACTTTTTTGCGGAATACCATTAGAGATGGTGCTAGTCTAATGTCCGTAGGAAGGGCGTTCCACAGCCGAGGAGCCACCACCGAGAAGGCCCTCTCTCTCGTCCCCGCCAGCCGAGCTTGAGAAGCAGGCGGGATCGAGAGCAGTGTCTCCCCGGAAGATCTCAAAGTCCTGGTGGGTTCATAGGCAGAGATGCGGTCAGATAGGTAGCTTGGGCCGAACCGTTTAGGGCTTTAAAGGCCAACGCCAGCACTTTGAATTCAGCCCGGTAGCAGATCGGTAGCCAGTGGAGTTGGCGCAACAGGGGGGTTGTATGCTCCCTGCGCTCCGCTCCTGTTAAAATCATGGCTGCCGAGCATTGGACTAGTTGGAGCTTCCGAGCTGTCTTCAAAGGCAACCCCACGTAGAGAGCGTTGCAGTAGTCTAAACGGGATGTAACCAGAGCGTGGACTACCGTGGCCAAGTCAGACTTCCCAATTAACAACAGTATAACAATCATAACGCCTCAAAAATAAAATCAGAATCCACTCTCATCAGGGCCGTAGCCAGAAAAAAATTTCGGGGAGGGTTGACAATTTCAGGGGGGGGGATTTTGAAAATTTCGGGGAGGGTTCAAAATTTGGGGGGGGGGGGGGGGAAACCTGCCTCCTAGCTCACGCTGAAGCAAAGAGCACAGCAGGGGGCAGAGCAGCCTTCAATAGCCTGCAGCTTTGCCCCTGTCAACCACCTCCACCAAGTCTGGCCTCCTTAATGAGAGCATTCAATACCTCCCCCCCCCCCCAACTTGGTTGCTTCACTACATCGGCTATTGCTGCAAGTAATGACAGTGTGAATAAATTGTCAATATTTGCTTGAGATAGTGCTTACAGTACTGGAGGGACTCGTAGTTTTTTGCATCTCATAGACTTAGCATGGGGATTTGGTTAACCAGTTAAAATTCATGAGTAAACCAGGTTTTTTAAAAAATCTGAAACATTTCCGGGGGGGTGGGGGGGTTGAACCCCTAAAACCACCCCCTCGCTACAGGCCTGACTCTCATTATCCATTGTTCCGTATTCCTATGTTCAGTTTCATTGTTTAGTCAAACGCTTGTTCGAATAGCCAGGTCTTCACCTTCCTCCGAAAACGCCAACAGCGAGGAGGCCCATCTGATGTCTGCAGGTAGGGCATTCCACAGCCGAGGGGCTACCACTGAGAAGGCCCTGTATCTCATCCCCACCAGCCGCGCCTGCGATGCAGGCGGGACCGAGAGCAGGGCCTCCCCAGACGATCTTAGTGTCCTGGTCGGTTCATAGGAGGAGATGCGTTCGGAGAGGTAAGTAGGGCCAGAACTGTTTAGGGCTTTATAGGCTAACGCCAGCACTTTGAATTGTGCCCGGTAGCAAACTGGTAGGCAGTGGAGGTGGCGCAACAGAGGAGTAGTATGCTCCCTGAGTGCCACTCCTGTTAGCAACCTGGCTGCCGAGCGCTGGACCATTTGAAGCTTCTGAGCAGTCTTCAAAGGCAACCCCACATAGAGAGCGTTGCAGTAGTCTAAGCGGGATGTAACCAGAGCGTGGACCGTGGCCAAGTCAGACTTCCCAAGGTACCCGGCCCGGCTATCCGGGACCCACCGAGGCTTCTCGGCGCTGCGGTATCATTCCCTTTAGGGGGGATTCTGACTTAGAGGCGTGTAGTCATAATCCCACAGATGGTAGCTTCGCCCCATTGGCTCCTCAGCCAAGCACATACACCAAATGTCTGGACCTGCGGTTCCTCTCGTACTCTCGCAGAGGTTGTGAGGTCTGTTGGAAACTGGGAAAATTGAGTTGTTGTAGGTTTTTCGGGCTATATGGCCATGTTCTACAGCAGGGGTCTTCAGTCCCTCAAACTGTTGAGGGGCCAGATTATAATTTGGAAAAAAAAAAAACCATGAATGAATTCCTATGCTCACTGCACATATCTTATTTGTAGTGCAAAAAACACTTTAAAATAATACTATAATTAAAATGAAGAACAATTTAAACAAATATAAACTTATTAAGATTTCAGTGGAAAGTCGAGCTTTCCAAGTTGCCCAGCCTTCTCTGCACCCAGGAGGGAGTCTCTCATTCGGTCTCAGCCACTGATTGAGGATCTGGGTCTTCGCCTGCCATTTTTGGACTCATGATTGCTGAGGTGTTCTTGCAAGTATCTCTGTAGATCTTAGAAAGCTATTTCTTGATTTAAGGTGTTGGCATGCTGACTGATATCTGAATAGAGGATGGGCAGAGATGTCACTGCCTTGGTCCTTTCATTGCTTGCTGCTACTTCCCAGTGGATATCAGGTGGTGCAATTATACTGCTAAACAGTATAATTTCTCCAGTGGTGTTGGGTGCAGACACCCCGTGATAATGCGGCATGTCTCATTAAGAGCCACATCCACTGTTTTAATGTGGTGAGACGTGTTCCACACTGGGCATGCATACTCAGCAGCAGAGTAGCATAGCGCAAGGACAGATGTCTTCACTGTGTCTGGTTGTGATCCACAGGTTGTGACAGTTGGCTTGCGTATGATATAGTTTCTAGCACCCACTTTTTGCTTGATAGCCAAGCAGTGCTTCTTGTAATACTTCCAGGTATTTGGGTGTGCTGCAATGCTCTGGTGGGATTCCTTCCCAGGTCATCCTCAGAGCTCAAAATGCTTGTCTGTTCTTAAGATGGAAAGCACACGCCTGAATTTTACATGGATTTAAGAATCAGCTGGTTTTTTCTGTACTAGGCAGTAAAATCACCTAAAGCTTCGGAGAGCTTCTGTTCCACCATTTCAAAGTTCCCTGCTTGAGCAGTGATGACATAATCGTCAGCATAGATGAAACTGTCCCTTCTGGCAGTGGCTGGTCATTTGTGTAAATGTTAAACATTGATGGAGCAAGCAATGGAAAACCAATTGAACCACTGAAAAGTCAAGGCAATTTGATCCCACTTGAAAGGCATGGCGCAATGCCGTGGAATGCTGAGGATTGTCATTTGGGGAGGCACCAGCCCTTTTTTCTAGAAAAGACAATACAGTGTAAAACTAAAATTCCCATGGTGGTATCTGTTTAGGCAAGCCGGCAGTGAAGATATATAGACTGAAGTGACAGGAAAGCTATCCCTTATCGAGACAATATGATCTGATGGGAAGTGCAATATGATCTGATGGTTTTTAAACGTCTGTTCATTTATTTATTTATTTATTTACTTGTATACCGCCGTTTCTCAGCCTAACCGGCGACTCAACGCGGTTTACAACAGGATAAAATCAGTCAACAATATACAATTCAAAACAAAAGAGCACAGTATACAATATTACACAACAGCAACAACCTAATGCGTCTCATAACTAGAGTCGTGATCCAAAATTCGTCGTCCATATTTCAGTCCCTGTGATCGTCACATTCATTGCACTGATTAACCAAAGGCCTGTTCGAACATCCAAGTTTTTAATCTTCTACGGAACACCATTAGCGAGGGAGCTGATCTTACCTCCATGGGAAGGGCGTTCCACAGCCGGGGGAACAATATACAATTCAAAACAAAAACAATTCATGTTTATGATATTATATTCGATGTTTCATAGGTTGTATATGTGTTTCATTGCTGTTGATTTTATACTGTATTCGATCTGTTGGAAACTGCTTTGAGTCCCTTTCTGCAGGGAGAAAAGCAGGATATGAATAAATATTATTATTATTATTATTATTTGAAACACAACAAGATGAGTCCACAGCAAACAATATCATTCTGGTGGCTGTTGTATTGGAATCACACGTCAGACACTTCCCAAGTGGCTAGGAATGTGTAATGTATCGGCGAATAATACGTGCAGATCCCAGTAAGGTGGCCTTCTGCAGCTGGCAGATGTTAATTTTGTCAGCGTCGATTGTATTTAAGTGCAGGCCAAGGTCTTTAGGCACTGCACCCAGTGTGCCGATCACCACTGGGATCACTTTGACTGGCTTGTGCCAAAGTCTTTGCAGTTCGATCTTTAAATCCTCATATCGTGTCAGCTTTTCCAGTTGTTTCTCTTCAATCCTGCCGTCACCTCGGATTGCAACACCGGCAATCCATACTTTGTTTTTTAACACGGTCGTGTTAAATTATTATTATTATTATTATTATTATTTGAAACACAACAAGATGAGTCCACAGCAGACACTCTGCTGGTTGTTGACTCATCTTGTTGTGTTTCATTATTATTATTATTATTATTATTATTATTATTATTATTATTATTATTATTGTATATCATGGCATCCTTGGAGTTGCGGTTTTGAAAGGCCTGGTGCTTCCCCAAGCTAGAACTTCCAAGTTTGCATAGCATTGAGCCATAGCGGTTCAAGCTGTATCCGTTCTGCAGGGCAGATGCAGCCAAGGTCTTCTTCTTCTTCACCTTTCTGAAGTCTCCGTTTGGATGAACGGCTGAGCCAAGATACACAAGACCTTTAAG